TGGGTGACAGCATAGATGTTACTCAGATAAAAAAAGATCAATGAACTAGAGTAAGGGATGGCCTTATGGTCCTCCAAAGGAGTAAATAAGTCAAACTTCTTTTGATTTTACCTATACTTATGAGCAGCCGTGCCTGTTTCAATAATTTGACTTCAAAACAAGTTTTGTAATGGAACAAATAGAATCAGGCCATTTAATAATAGGCATTCTTTCTATGATTCTTGTTCATAGCTGGTCTTCTATATATTTAGAGTATAGAATAAGCAAATTATGAAATGAGTAGCAAAGATTTTAATTTTAATATATCTTTTTTGATCTTGTTTAAATTTTTCCAAGGTTGTAAATCAGCATCTCACTGACATTCTCTAGTACTAATGAAAAAAAAACAAAGTTCTTTCACTTTCTCTCTTTACTTTGTTAGGTAAGGTCCCTGTGATGGAGACTGGCCTTGTGAAGCACTGTTTCTTCTTGCTGTAGGTCCTTCCTGTTCCGTTCTGTCCTCTGTTAGCACCTCTGGTGGGTTCAAAGACTCATTTTTCCACCACCAGTACCTAGCAAGCCGGAGACATGCTCCCTTAAATGCCTAATTTAGTGATATATAATAATACTTTTTTTTCATTTTTTTCCTCTCCTGTCTATTCATTGTTAATACCTCCCATCCAGTGTGAGGATTTGAGTTTATTAATCCTGCTATAGGATACCCATGAAAGAGTTACCTCGTACTCGAGTTCTATTATTGTGAATTTATTTTAAAGTACTTATTGTATAAAAAATATTATAAATTGTTTAATGCTTATTATTAATTTAAACTGCATGTAAAATCAATGTTATTTTTGAAATATTTAAATAGTAATTAAAATAGTGTAATAGGAAACAGAAAGTCATTTATAAGATCTAGTTCACATCAGCTCCTATCAATACCATTTTTATAAGACAGGACATTTCAACATCCTTCTCATATACACACGGAGGAAGATAAGATCATATGTATCTAACAATTTAAAATTTGAATTAACACTTTATGAAAAACTCTAGGCATTGTCTTATTTTCAGTTTTGCGGAGGACCAGTGAATAACATTACTATAAATGACTGAAATCAGTTTCTTGACTGGCATATTGGTACCATTGATTTCATTACTGAACCTCAGTTTGACCATCTCGCATATTATCTTAAGTATTGGCTTATTGTGCCTGCCCTTTACTGGGTTTTTAAGAGGATTTGATGGGGTTTAGGTGTATGTTGCTTCAGAGCTCTCCAAGTCAGGGTCAGTGAGACAAAAGAGGGGCTCCGCCTGTAGGGGCCGGGGATCTACTGGGTCCCAGATGACAGAGGCTATGCAGGGAAGTGGGATGTCTGGCCCATTTATCCCTTAGTAGTGTCCAGCGTGACAAGGCCTTCCACCAGCCAGGTTAGTTCTGGGCCATATTCTTAGGGAGTCTCTGGAAAAGCAGGAACACTATAAAGGATACTTTTCGGGTATAGTAGGCTATAATATATACACAGTTTGCTTTTAGGGTTCATACCCAATAATACATTAGAATTATCTGTGTCTGGAGGACTAATGTGATTAACCATGGCTTAGTAGTGCTTAAAAATGCTTGGCTTACCAACATGGGTTTTCATTACCCCTAAAAGCAAACCTGTGCCTATATATTAATAGCCTGACTATACCCTGAATAGTATCCTTTTAGTGTTCCTGCTTTTCCAGAGACTCCCTAAGAATATGAGCCCAGAACTAACCTGGCTGGTGGAGGCCTTGTCACCTGACTACTAAGGGAAAATGGGTCATACATCCCACTATCCCTGGCCTATGCCTCTGTCATCTGGGACCCATAGATCCCTCTGCCCACCTACAGGCAGGAGCCCCTCTCTTTGTCTCTCACTGACCCATGACTTGGAGACTCTGGAGCACATACACCTAATACCTCCATCAAATCCTCTTAAAAAACTCTATAAAGTGGTCAGCACCAATAATGCCAGACTCAAACTAGAGGATAACTATTTTGCTAGATGGTCAAACTGAGGTTCAGTAAAATGAAATCAATGGTACCCAAATGCCAGTTCAAGAACTGATGTCAGTCTTTATAGTAATGTTTTCACTGGTCCTCAGCAAAACTGGAAAAATAAGAACAATGCACTAAGTTTTTCATAAAGCTGATTATTATTCAAATTTTAAATTGTGAGATTATATCTTATCCTCCTTCCTGTGTATATGAGAAGGATGTTGAAATGTCCCTTTTTATAAAATGGTATTGATAGGAGCTAGATGTGAAACTAGATCTTATAAATACTTTCATTGTTTCCTATTACAATATTTTAATTACTTTTAAATAATTTAAAAATAACATTAATTTTAAATTCAATTTTAAATACTAAAATAATCATTAAACAATTTATAAGTATATTTTATACAATACATACTTTAAAATAACTTCAAATAAAACTCAGTACGAGGTTAACTCTTCATGGTATCCTATGCAGGATTAAAAACTCAAATCCTCACATGGATAGGGCAGGTAATAACAATGAAGTAGACAGGAGAAAGGAAAAAAAATAGAAAAAAAAAAATATATATATATATATCCCTAAATGTAGCATTTAAGGGAGCATGTCTCCCCCTGCTGGTACTGGTGGTGGCAAAATGAGTCTTGAACCACCAGGGTGCTAACAGAGGACTATAACTGGAAAGGAAGGACCCTACAGCAAGAAGAAACAGTGCTTCAAAGGCCAGTCTCCATCACAGGGACATTACCCTAACCAAGAGTAAAGAGAGTAAAAGTGAAAGAACTCATAGTACTAGAGAACTGTCAGTAGAGATGCTGATTTACAACCTTTGGAAAATTAACAAGGACAGAAAGAAAAATTTTTATAGTAGTTTAGTTAAATAAAAATATTTGCTATTCATTTTCATAAATTTGCTTATTCTATACATCTAATTATATAGAACCATATAGAACAATCATAAAAATAATGCCTATTATTAAATGGGCCTGATTTATTTGGTTCCATTACAAAACTTGTTTTTGAAGTTCAAATTATTGAAACAGCACGGCTGCTCATAATGTAGGTAAAATCAAAGAAGTTTGACTTATTTACTCCTTTGGAGGACCATAAGGCCATCCCTCATACCTTTAGTTCATTGATTCTTTTTTTATCTGGTATACATTATGCTGTCACCCACTTCCATTACCATAAATCTAACTTTTATTTGTCCTTAAAGCTTTATCTGCTGGTGTCTTTCTCCCCCAACAACAAACAAAAAACAAGCTGGAAAGTTCTTTTTTTCCTCCCTCGATTTTATTAGGTTTTGTTCTGACTCTTCTAGTACTTATCCCATTCTCTCTCATATTGCTTATTTGAGCATGCCTTATTTCCCACATCAGATTTTAAGTTATCTGAAGGCAAAAATTGTTTTATTCTACTTCAAAAAGAGGCTGAGAAGATGGATATGCTGATTACCCTAATCTGATCACTACACATTATATACATCAAAACATCACTATGTAGCCCATGAATATGCACAATTATTTGTCAATTAAGAAAAAATTTTAAAAAGAAAATCCCAGTCCCCCCTCCCCCAAAAAAAGAGGCAATATGGTTTCTTGCACAAAAGCTGGAACTTAGTATTAGTAGTTGTTTCATCATAGGCAAAAACTCTTTATAATACTGTGTCATAAATTTGTAGAGGATAAGAGAATTAGAGGATAAGAGAATGGATGTAAAGCTTTCAGGCTCCTGATTACGTGATAATTGTTAACTTTTATTTTTACTCTATCTCCAAACAAAAGCCTTACATGCTGTTGGCATTCAATTATTATTTGTTAGTAGAGCTTATCTGATAAGTACATTCATACCCAATAATACATTAGAATTATCTGTGTCTGGAGGACTAATGTGATTAACCATGGCTTAGTAGTGCTTAAAAATGCTTGGCTTACCAACACAATTCCACAACATCTAGATCAACGCTGACCAATATAAAACTTTCCGTGATGCTGGCAATGTGCTGTAAGGCACGTTGTCCAATAAGGTGATTCTTGGGTTCTAGAAATGTGGCTAGTACAACTGTGAAACTTAATTTTTCATATTAATTTCAATTAATTTAGTAGCTCCTATTGGTTACAGCGCAGCTCTAGAATCTGCCTTGACCTGTCAGCAACCTTTAAACTTTTTAAAGAGTCCGTGTCCTCTTTCTCACTTGCCAAAAATTCTTTCTGTAATCTAAATAACCCTCACTTATTCAATGCATCAGAACTTTGACTAGTGGCCAACCCCTTTTTTCCATTTCGCTGTTACACGTGTCCTCACAGTAAAACTTCGCTAAGAGCAGACAGGACAAACATCTCGGGAGGTCGCAAGGGACAGGGTGAGTCAAACATCAAATGACACGCAATCATCCCACTAAAATAACTCGTCGCGCCCCTGCCTGGAGGTGCGCAGTGCGGAGGGTTGACGGGAACGCAAACAGACCTTGCGACAGGCGCAGCAAAAACGCGGGCCGCGCGCGGGAGGTCAGGACCGCCCCCGTCACGCGGACACGGCGCCCGGCCGCCCGCCGCCACACGCCAGGCAGTGTCGCCGCGGGCTTGTGTAAGGGCCAAACGTAGCCCGTCCCGCCTCCACCCCTAACGGCTTTGCAGCAGTGCACACCACGAGACTACCTTCCCCCGCAGCCCCAAAAAGAGAATCACGCCTCCTGCCGTGTGGACTACGAGCCGGCCTGCCCCTCCTCCTAGAAACCCCGCCTCGAAACTGTGCGCAAGCCGCTGATTGCTCAAGGCTTCCCGTACAAAATGGCGGCGGGCCCTCAGGAACCAACCATAGAGACGTCCGCCTGCCGCGAGAGCGCGGGCCTCCTAGCGACCGCCACGCCCCGCGCCGGCCTCGCCTTCCGGCAGGGGCGGAGGAACGGTGCGTCTCCACGGGCCCTTCTAGGAGAACGGCGCGCAGTCTCCATGGTGCTGGGTCCTCCGAGCTGGGTCACGTGGCTGGTGAAAGCAGTCGCGGAGGCGGAGGGAGGAGGAAGAGGCGGGAAGCTGGGGGGCTGGTAGCAGGAGACCGAGCGACGACGGGGTTGTCATGGAGCCGTGGGGCCGGGCTCGCGCATGCGCCACCTGACCCACGGGCTTGGTCGTGGAGCCGCGACCCCGGCCTTAGGTGAGAAAGGGAGGGCTGGGCTCGCGGGCAGGGAAGCAGGGATGGCGCGACCGGGAGGGATTGGCGGGGAGCGTGGGAAAGGGGGTGGGAGTAGGGAAGAGAGGAAGGGGAGCGAAGTAAGCAAGAGGGACAACCGGGACTTTAGGGGGACGGAGGGCCAAATGGTGGGAGCCGGAGGTGGTGCGTCCCAACCCCATTTAGTTGGTTTTACTGTGAGGCTGGGCCTGCGTGGGAGAGGGAAACGCGGGTGAGGAGGGGGCTTGTGTGAGGAGCAAGCGGGGTGAGTTGGTTAGGGCAGGTGAGCCCTGGTTAGCCCTGGGGGCAACAGCTAGCCGGCTGTCCGGGCGTGGAGAGTGCCTGGAGGCCTGCCGGGCAGTGAGCAGAGGGCCAGGGAGCCGGCAGGTGAGTGGGCACAACTAGTGACCGGGTGAGGGTCCGGGGCCTCTAGAGTGAGGCTGGCGTAGTGCCCTGTTCTGGGCCCAGGGCACAGGTGTACTGTCTTTTCCAGAGACCTGCCTTCACCCACTTTGCAGGTTATTTCTTCTGAGTGACTGGCTTGGTGCTTGGGGTAGTGGTTTGGGGAAGAGGGTGGGCAGTGCCAAGTAAGGAGTTAGTGGTTAGTGGGTGAGTTGGGGGCAGCTCTGATCCGGGCACAGGTTGAAGCCAGGCTCTCTGTTATTGCCCAAGTCCTGGCAGTAAGCATTGCCTGGGCGTTTGCCCTGGAAGGCTGGTGGTATGCCAGTCACAGCACAGTACTAGGGTCTGCCCAGTTCTGCCCTGCTGAGCTGGCAGCCTGGTGGATGCCTGGAGGGTGCACATGCTGTCTGGCACAGATGCAACGTGGGCTGGTGCGAATTGGTAGGTGGGCACTGTTACTGTGAACTCTTTGCAGCAGGGGATCTGAGAAAGTTCTCTAAACTGATCTCCTCTCTGAAAGGTTAAAATGGAGAGAGCCATACTGGGTCCCAAACGTGGGAAATTATATGAAATTGGGGTTCAGGATCTATGACATGAATTTTCAGCGAAGTTGGAGAATGGGAATGAAATGAGTGTTAGAGATTTAGGTAGATGGGGTTTTTCCACTGTTAAAATAACACAGTCTCCCTGAATGGTATCTCTGAATATACAAACTAAAAGCAAATTATTTCAGAGAAAACCTAGTAACATGTTTATAATTCTAACTGGAATTACTCATGGATTTCTTTCTATGGCCTTATCACTTCATTGTATGAAAGCCTCTGCTTGGGCTTTCAACTAACACCTCTGTCCAGGCATGCACGTTATACACGTGACTCACTTGAAAGGGAACTTGAGCTCTCAGGAACGTTGCCAAGTATCTATAAAAGGAGAGATCTGAAAGCAGCATTTCAGATTCTTTCCTTGTAACCCTTGGGTCTCCTTTTAATCATAAAGTGCAAATCTCCACAGAGATTGTTTGTGGATTAGGCTGACCTTTGATTTGGTTGGTGGATTTGTCCCTGTTTCATCTTGGAATAAGGGATAGATTAGGTACCTGTTTTCTGCAGGGGACTAGACCTGGAGGTTAGATCTTGAGGTGACCATGGTGTTTGGAAATGCAGAATCTTGACCTTCAAGCTGTTCAGGTATTTCTGTGGCAGCTAAGCTGCTAGGGCTGTCAGACCCAGCAGGACAGAGATTTGTTGGATTTTATTATTCTGTTGAATACCTCACATGCTAATTGTTAGGGGTTGAGGTTGCAAAGATGAAAAACAACCCTTGAGGTTGAGGAGACAAATAATTAGACTCTAATGTAAGAAGTGCAGAAATAGAAGCAAGAGCCATGTGCTTTGGAGTGCTTGCTAGAATTTATCTATTTATATAAACCTGTATATTTATTTATTCACTTTCCATTAGCAGTTTTAGTGTGTACTCTCTTCTCTGGGAAACTTTTGGACAACATGTTACATATACATGCATAAGAGGCTCAATTAGGGTCAGTTCTGACAGTTTGGGAACTTAATTTAGTCCTCGTAATGCAGAGTAAGGGACATAGAGTCTGAGATGTTTCTAAAGTTGTATTAGTGGCTTCCAGTTTGTGCCATGAAGCAGAGAGATAACATAATAACATAATGGGTAAAAGCTTAGTAACCCAATTTCAACTTGTCAGTGTGTGAGCATCTAACTTTATTGTAAAATAATACCGAGGAGGAAAAATCAAACACCTTCTTGAGGTTTTCAGACTTAGTCTGTTGCACAGCTCTGGGTTTGAGAGACCAGTAATAAATGCCATCACTCTGTCTCCTTCTCTCCTGTCGAGTGCTTCATATGATGCTGTGTATGAGTAGGTCCCTTGTTCGTGGCTAATTGACTCCCTCAGTCTACTCCTAGGATGGGGGAGGTCGTTGGGGGGGAATATAGCCCTTCATTCTCCATCCCACATGAACTTCTCTGCCTGGGAGGCTAAGGCTTTTTGCTGCTTAAAGAGAACTTTTCTGAGAACAGGCTTTCATATTTTTAAGAATTTTCACATCTAAAATAGTCAGTTTACCATTATAAAGTCCACTATGCATTCTTTATTTCCAAATACCAACAACTCCCCATGATCTAAAATTTTAGTGTCTGTTCTCCATTTAACCATGCATGGGTGGAAACATGTGATACCTTTCCTCACCTGGACAGGTTATCAAGAGAAAAACATAAGTTTTTTTTCCCTCCCTCCCTCCCTCCCTCCCTCTTTCCCTCCCACCCTCTTCTGGGCTCAAGTGATCCTTATGTCTTAGCCTACCTAGTAGTTGGGATTATAGGTGCGTGCCACTGTGCCGAGCCACTACATAATAGTTTTATTTAATCAAAGTTGTATGTGGTGTAGGAGCCTTCGGAAACCAAGACCCAAAAACTCAGGGGAAACTGTCTGTTTTTATGCTTAGGTTCGATGAAGAATGGACGGCCATGTAGAAATACGATTGGACAAAAAGGGTATGATCTAATCTAATGGTATTAGACTGAGGTGGGAAACCCAGCAAGGCCTATCTGTTCAGAATTCTTCTTGACCTCTGTTTAACATTTCTTCCTCCCTGGTATAGGGCGGGACCTATTCTGGAATGAGGGTCGTATGATCCACTATCAGACAAGGCAGGTCAGAGAATTTCTTTATGGCCAGCTCTTACAGAGAAAGGCAGGGAAGGTTAGAGTAAAATTTCTAGTTTCTGTGGCTTGTCTTGAGAAAGAGGCATTCTAGTTTCTGTGGCCCACCTTAGGGGAGAACAGGAAGCAGAAGAAAGAAGTACAGGAAGGTCAGAAAGAGACCTTGCTTCTGAGGACCTTCCGGTGTCCTTCGTTTCACAGTCCTCAGCCTACCAAAGCACCATACTTTGGGATGTCTTTTTCTGAGCCCCAACAACCAATTTATCAATGTTTCAGTATTTTGATTCTGTGATCAGTGTTGTCTTGGTGAATTCTCTGTAAGGTAAAATAAATTCCTGTGTATTTTCTGTAGCTCAGTTGGCTACACTTTAATAACAATAGCAAGACCTTTTTCATTGTCTTGTCACAAAGATTGTAGAAGACTAAATTGGGATGTTTTATCTAAAATACCTGAAAAACAATCCATGTTTAGTAAGATAATGTGAACCTTTGTAAGGTTCCTAATTAGTTGCAACCAACATGAGCTACCTTCCTAATCTAAATCAACACCCTGGTCAGACTTGAATTAGTCTGAATGTCCATCCACAGCTACATCTACTTCCATTTTGAAGAAGGCTCCTATTCACTTTTAGACGGTATTATTTTAGGAAAATTACACTGTACACATTTGTTGGGTTTCATATAAAAGCATCCTGACTTAATTAGAGATACAGTTTTACATTTTAGTCTGCTTTTTTTTTTTTTTTGAGACAGAGTCTTGCTCTGTTGCCCAGCCTAAAGTGCTGTGGTATCAGCCTAGCTCACACCAACCTCAAACTTCTGGGCTCAGGTGATCCTCCTGCCCCAGCCTCCCAAGTAGCTGGGACTACAGGCACACACCACCATGCCCAGCTAATTTTTTCTATTTCTGGTAGAGACAGAGTCTCACTCTTGCTCAGACTGGTCTCAAACTCCTGAGCTCAAGCAATCCTCACGCCTCCCAGAGTGCTAGGATTACAGGTGTGAGCCTCTGTGCCTGGCCTCTAGTCTACTTTTTAAACTGGGTTGGCCATATTGTCAAACTCATAGCTATCAAATAAACATTTCTTTTACATAGTGCTCTACAAGATATGACAGTGCCATTGTTTATCTTTTATGCATGTAGGTTTAAATGCGTGACCTGTGGAAGAGTACTTGATTTGACATGAGTTGAATGAGGAAGCCGGTTAGTTCCCTTAAATGAGTTAGACATGGGGCAAAATGATTTTTACTTGGAATTGTATTTAAAATTCACTCTGATTCAGTCCCATTTGTGTTCCCTTTAATCCACTTCTACTGTAGCAAAAGTATGAGCAAAAGGTTGCTCAAGGATGCTTGTAAGCTTCCTTGTCTTCTATTTAATTTTATTTTGAATCCTTCTGCTTCTTGGGTAATTGATATTCTTCACTAGAACATTGATGTTCTTGTATTAGCAGAAATGTCTAGGCTAAGCACTTCAGGGTATTCCAGATGCAGTGCTGTTTCTCAGGGGCTTGTGTTTCTCTCCACTCAGAAATAGGATGGAGTCTTGAGTGGATTGTAAACTAAAACATCACTAGGCTTTGCTTACTTCTACCCAGTTTCATTATTATTGTTGTTTTCCTGGTTGGCTCTCTGTTCTCTGTATCCCTATAGTATCCTTTGCGTTCTTACCATGCTGGCCTTACAGTTGCCATTCCTTGGTAACTCAAATGGCCTTGTTAAATATCTGGAATGTTCTCAGCCTTTGGCCAGCCCTTTGAAGGGCCGATTTGTCTCATTCTTGCACTGTTAGCCTAGGACTGGATCTGCTCTGGACTAGCTGTGTGTCACTGAAGCAAATGTAGGCGTCGCTCTGGGGCTCCAGTCTTACATGTGACTGCCTACCCAGCATGTGCACTCGGATGTCCCATAGTCGCTTCAGTGTCTTCATGACTGAGACTGGGCTGGCTGAGACACGCCACCCTCCCCTGCCCCACCCTACGCAACTCCCTTCAGTGCTCTTCTTGAACTCCCTAGCTTAAAAAATGGTACCACCGGCCGGGCGCGGTGGCTCACGCCTGTAATCCTAGCTCTCTGGGAGGCCGAGGCGGGTGGATTGCTCAAGGTCAGGAGTTCGAAACCAGCCTGAGAAAGAGCAAGACCCCATCTCTACTATAAATAGAAAGAAATTAATTGGCCAACTAATATATATAGAAAAAATTAGCCGGGCATGGTAGCGCATGCCTGTAATCCCAGCTACTCGGGAGGCTGAGGCAGGGGGATTGCTTGAGCCAGGAGTTTGAGGTTGCTGTGAGCTAGGCTGACGCCATGGCACTCACTCTAGCCTGGGCAACAAAGTGAGACTCTGTCTCAAAAAAAAAAAATGGTACCACCATCTCCTGCTCCCCCATACAAAGGCCAAGTCCGTTCAGGTTGGTCTCCATGTGTCACTTCTCCCCATGTCCACAGACACCACTGTAATTCACCTGACTGCTGTGATAGCATCTGACCAATCTCAGTGCCACTCTCCACTTAATTCTCAGTCTGTCATCCAAAGTGCTTTTTAAATGCAAATATGATTATGTCACTCTTCTGGTTAAAATTCTTCTTTGGCTTCCCATTGCTCTTAAGTTAATATCCAAGTCTTTCCAACATTGATTCCTAGGCACTGCCTGTCTCTCCCCCCACTAACCATCTAGCATCACTGCATGGCATTCTGCCCCTCTGTACTGTGCTCCAGCCTCCCTGGCCTTTCTGCTCTTTGATGTGCCAAGCTCCTTGCTCCCTTAGATCCTTCCCACTGCCTGGGACACACCTACACACTCCACCCATCGCCTTTCACCTGGCTAACTCCTCATCCTCCAGATCCCAGCTACTTGGCACTTCCTGAGTTCCCCAGACTATTAGCCCATCATCCCCTTCATAGCTCTTACCAGAATAGTCATTAGCTGTGTGAGTACTTGATTAACATCTGTGTCTCTCTCTCTAGATCCTAAGCTCCAGGAAGGAAGCGACCATGTCTATCCTGTTCACTCTATACCCCAGTCCTCGAACATGCCTGATTTACAGTGAGCACTTGATAAATATTTTTAAATGACTGAATGTAACTTACCTGAGCCTCAGCTGCTTCTTCTGTAAAATGGGATAGCAACTGAGGAGGACATTGTGAGGCTCAAGTGAGATAACGTTAATAGCAATAAATGTTATGGATTTTTATACAATATAAGCACTTTATTATATGATCTTATTTGCACATAAAAGTTTTTAAAGCCCCCAAATAGCATGCATATATAGGGAGGTTTTTTTACTCTGTTTGATACCTCATCCCAAGAACTTAGAGGTTAATGTGAGAAACTGTACACTATGAGAGGTGGCAATAGGTCGTGAGCCTGCAAATGTGTACCAGGAAAGGAAAGCAAGAAAGCGCACCTCATCAGTGCTTTTCCTTTCCCCCTTCTTCCCTCTCCTGCGTGGAGGGTGAGTTGGTTACCCATTCCAAAAAGCCTAGTCAAATGTGCCTTTGTTGGCAGTTTACAAAGCTTACGCTGAATGCAGTTTGTGTGCCTTGAATTTGTAATGGAATTAGAGGGCAGCCAGAGGACTGTGAATCTCTTTTTGAGTGGAAACCATTCTGTTTAGTAAACTTGAAGCTTTTGTCAACCGAGACCTCTGAGAAAATACAGCTGAAGTGGGCGAGGCCAGTGTTCTTTGCCCTCACTTTCTTCACTGTTTGGATCACCTGTCTCAACCCTCCAGGCAGTGACTTCTTATGTAATTGTTGTTTTTCACAGGGCAATCCAGATGAAAAGAGTACCAATGAATCTACCTCTAGCCCAGTAAAACATGGAGAGGAAAAACCCATTGAGAGAGAGCCCCAGAAGACTCTCGGCCAAACTAGGCAAAGGCACAGAGATGAAAAAAGTGGCTCGTCAACTCGGCATGGCTGCTGCTGAATCAGATAAGGACTCTGGATTTTCAGGTTAAAAATATCTTATCCTTTCTATACTCTGATGAATGATTTGCCTGCAAAATTTCATCCCTAAAACTCGTTTGTGTGATAAGCATGGGATGTTTTCACATACAGGATAAATAACTATCTGATCTTTTATAATGGTAAATCTGATGCCATGTGGCAGGGTACCCACCCAAGCCACCATGGGGCTAGTTCTGAAAGAATGATTTGACATCGTTTTTCAACTTAGACTCTCAACTTTAAATCTTATATTTCCAACTGTCACAAGTGATTACTGGAAAAAATATTTAAGTACTCATAATTCTGTTATTTCAGCTCCTTTTTCATGGTAGTTGTTACACTGTAGGAAAAAAATACTACTGCATGTTATCACCATGTAACAAATTTGAAGGCTGCCAGTTAAATAAAAGTAATGCTATATACATAATTTGTTAACAAAACTTATTTGCTAAGAAAGTAATTTTGCTGTGTTTAAAAATGTTCCCCCCACTCCCCCCTAACAATATGCTCCCTTCAGTCTCTTTGCATCTTGTATTTGGACTGTGAGCCACCTGGCCCAGTTCCAAACTCGAGTATTTATTAGAGACAAGAAAATAGAACAATTTTCCTTACAAATGTGTCTTATACCCAGAAAGGGCTAGCTCCATACTCAGGAAATCTTTTAATGTTGTGTTGAGGCTCTTTTTATTTCCAGGCTTGAGAGTGCTGGCTTGAATATGGCTTTAGTGTCAACAGTTTTGACCCGCAGATGCAGAGGGGCTATGACAGGGGATTCTGGCTGAGTCAACATCCTGAGAGTAGAACTTTCTCTAGGGGAAGATTTATATCATCCAAACCCACAGAGACTAATTGATCAATTTTGCTGGTTTGTTAATTTATAGTGACAAATGCAGCTGTTAGAAAAACTAGAACTCTTTCATCCTTAGATTGGTGTATTTTCTCCCTATAGGCATGCTGCATAAGAAGCCAAAGTATAAATAGACTGTTGCTCAGAGAGGAACAGAGTACCAACCAAGGGATTACATTAAGAGGAATTAGTTCCCCTGCCCAGGGTCAGGGCAGTCCAGGGAAGGGTGGCTGAACCTGTAGGCCTTTGGGTTTTTCTTCTCTCTTGCTTAGCACTGTTTCCCAAGCTTGCCTCCTAAGTCTCACCTGAGGCATTTGTTAAAAATACTGATCACCAGACCCCTTTCCTGAAGATTCTGTCAGTGATCTGGGGAAGGGCCCAGAGTGTGTGTTTTATGATCAGACAGGTTTGGGAAACTTTGCTTTAATATCATGTTTGCTTTTTGTCTGTTTTTTCTGTCATGAAGATAATACATGCTCATTGTAGAAGCTTAGAAGTTTAGGAAAGTACAAAGAAGAAAATAAACATTTGTCATACTCCTACCATCTATTATTTCCATCTATTGACATTTTGGCACTTCTCACAACAACTTCAACTTTGTCAGCCATTTGTTTTAAGAATATTGTACTATTCAGACATAAGGTGGTATTAAGATAATCAAATTCGTTATGTTCCAGAAAGTGGCCCTGGTGAATGTCAGTGGAATGCTTCCAGCCACTCCTGGGCCAGGTGCCAGTGATTTCCTCACTGCCTGAGTTATAATTCCAGTTACCTTGGAGTATGATAAAATTTGCAGAATCAAGATAGTTTTTTTTTTTTTTCATTTTAATTATTTTTCCAACTTTATATTTTGAAAATTTTCAGATTTATATAAAAATGAATGAATATCCCACATATTTTTCTTTCAGATCCCCTGGGTGTTATTTTTCTGTATTTGTTTTCTCTTTCTATATACACACACAGGCTGAACTTTTTGAAAATAAGTTGCAAACATTTGACCTTTCACCCCTAAATATTTCAGTACAAATCTCTTAAAAGCAAGGACATTCTCTTTTGTATACTTATAATATCATTATCATACCCAAGAAATTTAACGCTGCTAGTTATCATTAGCTACAATCCATATTCAGATTTTCCCATCGTCCCAATAATGTCCTTTATAGCTCTAGTCTTTTTTGTCTATTTGTTTGGGATCCAGGATCCAATGAGGATTGTGCACTGCATTTAATTGTCCTATGTTTTTAGTCTGATTTAGTCTAGAACAGTTCCCCCATCTTTTCTTTCTTTCCTTTAATTCCTTCCTTCTTTTTTTATGACATGGACATCTTTAAATGACTTAGGACTGTTGGTCTGTAGAATGGCTCACAACCTGGATTTTCTGGTAGTTTCCTCATTATTAGAATCAAGATAAATGTTTTGACCAGGATACTACATAGTTGATGTTGTATCCTTCCCATTGCAACACATAAAGAGACTCATAAGTTAGTCTTATTCTTAATGATGCTCTGGTTGGTTGATTACTTGGTTAAGATAGTGTGTATCAGATTTCTTTATTGTAAAAGTTCCCTTTTCTCTTTGTAATTGATAAGTAATTTTTGGGACAATACTTGAGGTTGTGTGGCTATCCCATTACCCAGCAGACTCTTGATCAGAGCTAACAGCCAGTGATGATCCTTGCCTGAATCAGTCACTACATCGGTGGTTTAAAAGTGGTGATCTTTAAATTCTACCATTCCTTCCATATCATTAGCTGATATCCTTCTGTAAAAAGCACTTCACTCCCTCAACCCCCTTTTTTGCCTATCACTAATGGATTCATGGAATCTTTTGTAATTCATTTTGTCAGTCCATTAACATCATTATTTTTGATACTCAAATTGTCCCAAATTTGGCCAGTAGGAGTCCCTTCTAGATAGCCTGTGTCTTTTTGACATGTCCCCATTAGTGTTTGAGAACATCCTTCCTTTTTGGGACAACAAACTGTCCAGGCTCATCCCGCACCTTCTTTGCCTAAGACTTGGAGTCAGCAGTGTGTCCAAGGAGCCCATATTTCCTTTATGTGCGAAATGAAACCAAGATGCAGGCACCAGGTATGGACATGGCTTCTGAGATCATTTGTGGTTTTGACCTAATGGTTCTTAACTAGAGGTGCACATTTGGATCACGTGTGCTTTGTGAAAATATACCTACCTGGGCACCAGGTAAATCACTTTACTAGATCAAGAGGACCCCAACATCCATAATTTTTGAAAATCATCACTAGACATTCTAAATCGCAGCTCTATTGATTAGTGTCCTTTTTGGTCATACAAGCTTCTTTAAGCTGGAGAAGATGGAGTGGTTGACAGTGCATTTAAATTACAGCTACATGCCAGTCCTGCTTATCCAGATTACTCTGAGATTCTTGATTAGCATTTAGCCTTCTCCGAGACTCTTCAATAGCAGGGTACTATAATCTCTTGGTTTACTCCAGCAGGAATCTAATTACATCCTTTTTGTATGAAATTTACATAGGGCAACCTTATTTTCTTTGCCTTGGAGTGTACCTTTGTATCACCCATTGTTTAGGATCCCCAAAAGGCACACTCAGCATGCACTTAGTACACCAGCAAAGGAGGTGCTCAACAAGGTGGAGGGGAAGAACAGAGAAATATTTGAACTTCAGCTTTGATGAACTCATCCAGAATTTCACAATTAGAAAATTTAGGAAGAAGCTTTTAAAATTTCAGCATAGATGTAAGTTTTGAGGTTTACAGATTGGTTTTTGTTTTTATTATTATGGAGCTCAGAGCCTCTAAAGGTCTTAATTCTGCCATGGGCCACGCACTTCTCTGTCTTCTCAACAACAGATTCTTGAAAGTAATGAACTAACTTTGAAGTCTTGAATTCATTTCTCCTGTAGACTGGTGATGATTACATGAGCCCTAATTGAGGCAGGTTTTTGTCTGTAAGAGTTAGAAAGGAAGTTAAGCTTGTCCTGGGGTAGTGATTCTTAATCTTTTGGGATGGAAGACATAATTATGAATCCCGTTGAAAATCCAGTGAAAGCTAAAGACCTCCTCCTCAGAAAAATTTACAAAAACACATCACAAATATTCCATTCAATTTCAAGAGGTCCCTACGAGTTGGGATAAGAGCCCCTCCCCCCACTTAGCCTTGAGCCTAAATGAACTGACCATTCTTCTGCCCACCAGATGGGAGCTCGGAATGCCTGAGCTCTGCAGAGCAGATGGAGTCTGAGGACATGCTGAGCGCCTTGGGCTGGAGCAGAGAAGACAGGCCAAGGCAGAACTCCAAAAGTGCAAACAATGCCTTCCCTACCCTGTCCCCCATGGTTGTCATGAAGAATGTGCTGGTCAAACAGGTGAGGAAGATTAATATTGCCTAAAGTCTTTGCAGGTAAAAATTTCTGAGCTTCCTGTGTACAAAAGCTCTCCCTCTCTGCCAAGGAGAGATTTTAGAAACAGACCACTAGAACCATACTTTCTGTGTACTTTCTGTCCTGGACAGCGGATGTTATCTTTCAACTACTGACAGTTTTAAAAAGGAATATAAGAATTATGATGTGTGTTCTCATTTTAGAGACAGACTGTTTTATTTCTGTATTCATAGCTTGTCCAAAAGGCCCCTGAAATGCTTTAGTCATATATACAGAACCGAGAAGAAATGGCACCACTTCAGTGATGCATTCTAACATACGGCAGAGTTTAGGGTAGAAACGAAAGAATCTCTTTTTAATTTGAATTGCTCTGGGAATTTAGGAATGTAGAATGCATTTATTTGTTTCAGAAGTAGAGGCAATTTCCATGTTTCTTTTTTTTTTTTATTTCGGCATATTATGGGGATACAGATTTTAAGGTTTCAATAAATGCCCATTTCCCCAATTTCCATGTTTCTTATGTCATATTCTGAGCATTTTCTTAGTCATCAGCCAGAGCCATGTCATGGTGACAAACGGGCTCTTGGTTCAGGTATGGGAATACCAGCAGAATCCACACAGCATTGTCGTGGAGTTCAGAAATATGTTTGGGGCTTTATTACATAACTGTGGGCATCATATGATTATTGTTTAGTTATGAAAGAAAAGATTGAAATGAAAATCTAAATTAATCTCTAGTGTTTGAAACTGAGAATTCAATCATATGAACTTGGTTAAGGTAGAAGAGGGGTCTGAGGACTTGAAAAAGACTGATTTAAGCCAAAGAAATTTAACCTTACCCTACTTTACTCTGAAAATACATCACAGTTCTCACAAAGGTCATTGATGAGGCTACTTGAAGATAGTGAGATTTGAAATCTGGCTTTAGTAGTTGACCCTCACATCTTAGGTAAAAGATTAGAACATGGCTTTAGTCTAACAGGAAACCTTAAGGTCTTAGCTATTAACCTCATTATTTATGAGGAACACAGACTGATTTTCAGCAAGGTAGCCTGGTGAGTGCTAAAAGAACATTTGAAGATTTTTGCTTGGTAAATCACACCTCAGCTGGAAGCACAGCTCTCCTTATTGACAGGAAACGGGAGAATAAAGACAAGAAATGGAGCCCACATGAGATTGCCTGGCCCCACCAGTGCTGCCCAGTGCTTTTCCTGGCCTTCCTTTCTCCTGGCTCTTTTTCTCCCTTCCTTTCTCTCTGGCTTCCTTGTCACTTTCTTGTGTGTCTGTGTTTATATCCCTTCTTTGTTGTAGGCTAGGCTGGCAGCTCCAGCAGGCTGAGAACAGCCCACACACAGTTGAGTGAGTAGGCTTTTCCAGCAGAGCTGCATTCTTCAGGACAAAGCCCCGTCAGTGAGGCTGCTGGGCTGGAGCAGGAGCTAGGAGACTTGGGGACAGGCTGGCCCAACAGAGTACTCTAAGAGTTTTCTTTTGTTTTTTTTAAAACATGCTAGAATCCAGCACATTCTAAAATTAAAATAATAATACACTTTTAAACACCTGTGCATATTGTATAGTGTCTTGATTATTGTTGCTTGGTTTTAGATATTTCTCTTTTGATAGTCTGATTCCATTTCTGCCACTAGACAGTGTGAGCTTACACACTACACAATTACTTAACCAACACAGATATTAGTTTCATCTTTAACATGAGGGCTTGGCCGGGCGCGGTGGCTGACGCCTGTAATCCTAGCATTCTGGGAGGCCAAGATGGGAGGATCGCTCAAGGTCAGGAGTTCGAAACCATCCTGTGCAAGACTGAGACCTCATCTCTACTAAAAATAGAAAGAAATTAATCGGCCAACTAAAAATATAGAAAAAATTAGCCAGGCATGGTGGCCCATGCCTGTAGTCCCAGCTACTTGGGAGGCTGAGGCAGGAGGATTGCTTGAGCCTAGGAGTTTGAGGTTGCTGTGAGCTAGGCTGACGCCACAGCACTCTAGACCGGGCAACAGAGTGAGACTCTGTCTCAAATAAACAAACCAACAAACAAAACTAACATGAAGGCTTTATGAGAAATGATTTTGAGATCCTGTCCAAGCCTGTGATTTTGTTCCATATTCCCTCAGATGATTTCAACATGAATAATATAATTTGTAAAATCTAATAATTAGAACAAATAAGCTAAGTATCTGTTAGGACAATGGGCATAACAGCAGCATTAGGAAGAACAGTCCAGTAAAATCATCTTGTGGGAGAAGTGCATTAGATATTTTCTGGACCCATTTGTCTTGTAGGTCAGCACTTACAGAGAACGTGACGTTTTCTTTCTGACTGAGCTGGAGTAGGCTGATCTCTAATTCAAAAGATCCCTGATTTTGGATCTCCTTTGACAGGGCAATGTCTCTGGTCCTGGCATTGGTTGCTTTTCCACATCCTAGAGTATATTTAAATACCAAGAGGGCTCCAGATCATCTCAGCCTTGGCACAGGAGATGAATTATAGTTGGCCTAGAGTTCCCAGCCTGGTATCCAAGAAACTGAAATGTGTGCAAAATGCTGTTCCTGTACATGTGTGGGAAGGTAGTCCAAAATGTTCTTCAGATAAATCACGTGGCCCCATGTGACACCGCCAAGGATGAGAACCTCTGTGTTAGGCTTTACCTCTGCCCAGCTTCATCTACACCCAGATCTTTGGGACTAGGTGGGAACTGAATTGGCTTTCAAATATTGGATACAAGTAGCCATGTCCTTCTTTATTAGATTTCATCTAAATCAGTACTTTTAATTATTAATAAATACCATGTATAACTGAGGAGTAATATAACAAAGGCGGTATAACAGAATGCTTCAGATGGGTTTTAGAGTTAGAGTATGGAATCCTAACTGCATCACTTAGCTTGGTGACTTACAGCAAGTTATTTCAATTTTCTAAGCCTTGGTTTCCTGTTTATGAAGGGAAATGACAACTACCTTATGGACTTGTTATGGGGATTAAATGAGATAACTCATGAAACATCACACGCAGTGCTACTCAGCACCAATACATGGTAGCTCTTACTGTTGTCAATCATTTTATGATTGTTGCATGTCACTGCCTTAAAAGCAAGGGCCCTTAGATCTTGACAATATGTAACTTTTTAAATCAAAAATTGTTTTCGGCTGGGCATGGTGGCTCACGCCTGTAATCCTAGCACTCTGGAAGGCCGAGGCAGGCAGATTGCTCAAGGTCAGGAGTTCAAAACCAGCCTAAGCAAGAGCGAGACCCCGTCTCTACTATAAATAGAAAGAAATTAATTGGTTAACTAATATACATAGAAAAAATTAGTCGGGCATGGTGGCACATGCCTATAGTCCCACCTACTCAGGAGGCTGAGGCAGGAGGATTGCTTGAGCCCAGGAGTTTGAGGTTGCTGTGAGCTAGGCTGATGCCACAGCACTCACTCTAGTCTGTGCAGCAAAGTGAGACTCTGTCTCAGAAAAAAAAGTTGTTTTCAGGTAAAAGAGGTTCTAAGTGTAATTAAGATACACTTTGGTGTAAAGTCATATTTGTAGTCTTGAGATTAGTACATTTTAACTTATGCCAGGCTATCCATGTTTTTATTGCCTTAGGTGTGACCTTAAATATGTCATTGTTTCACCTACCTATAATTTCTTTTTCTGAATGATAGCACATGAATAAAAATAGATATTTCCTCTGGTTTCCCCTTAGTAAAAGTAAAAACAACAACAACTTTATAGACAGAAATGAATTTTCAAGCCACTTCTTCAGTCATGTTCTTGGCAAGGGCTACTCTGTATGCAAGGGAAGCTCTGTACTTGAAATGGTTCTAAATGTCCGTGTATCTGCTTTGCCCCCTTGACAGAGCTTCACTCCTCTGTCCTTTCAGCAGTGACAAGTAGTGTGCTGCTCTCTTCCTTTGTTTTCAGGGCAGCAGCTCATCCCAGCTGCAGTCGTGGACCGTCCAGCCTTCCTTCGAAGTGATCTCCGCACAGCCACAGCTCTTATTCCTTCATCCACCTGTACCATCTCCTGTCAGCCTGTGTCATGCTGGCGAGAAAAAGTCGGACTCCAGGAACTACTTGCCCATTCTAAATTCTTACACCAAAATAGCCCCACACCCAGGCAAAAGGGGCCTTTCCCTCAGCCCAGAAGAAAGAGGAGCAAGTGGAACGCAGAAGAAAATCTGTACTGAGAGACTTGGGCCGAGCTTGTCTTCCAGTGAGCCAACCAAGACTGGTGCGGTCCCGTCGGGCCCCTCCACACCAGCACCACCCAGCACCAAACTTGCCGAGGACTCAGCTCTGCAGGGTGTACCCTCCCTGGTGGCAGGTGGAAGTCCACAGACTCTTCAGCCGGTATCCAGCAGTCATGTGGCTAAAGCCCCGAGTCTGACCTTCGCTTCCCCCGCCAGTCCTGTCTGCGCATCAGACAGCACTCTACACGGGTTAGAGAGCAGCTCTCCTCTTTCACCGCTGCCAGCTAATTATAGCTCACCTTTGTGGGCCGCGGAGCACCTCTGCCGCAGCCCAGATATCTTTTCAGAGCCACGGCAGAGCAGACATAGGCGCTTTCAGAATACCCTAGTAGTTCTTCACAAATCTGGTTTGCTGGAGATCACTTTGAAAACCAAGGAGTTGATCCGTCAGAACCAGGCAACTCAGGTGGAACTAGACCAGCTAAAGGAGCAAACCCAGCTGTTTATAGAGGCCACCAAGACCAGGGCCCCTCAGGCTTGGGCCAAGCTGCAGGCATCTTTAACATCTGGGTCCAGTCATACTGGCAGTGACCTAGAAGCATTCTCTGACCACCCAGACATATAGCACAGAAGCATATTTCCCTGTTACTTCAGTGGTTCTTTTAATTCTTTTGCTGTTAGCTACTCCTATTTCCCAAAGCTTATGTAAGAGCTTTTCCTTCTAAACTTAACTGTGTAGCTGTTCACTTAGGAAGCCACGTGCCAATACCTGGCTGCTATCTTAACCTGTGGTCTGGGCACAGATTACATATGTCTCTGTTCCACTGAGGACCTCAGGTTTGGAGTGCTCTTGAGTCCCTTTCCTTAGCCTGCAGGCACTTAGATGGTCATGGGGCAAAGCAGGATAGATGACTGTGTGGGGCTCTTCTCGCTGTCACTTCTCACTGTCCCACTCATAACCAGGATCAGGGGTGCTGTAACAGAGATGAGCATGCAGACAGAGTGATGCTTGTTGAACCAGGGAGTAGGTGACCTAAGGATACCTTCATGGATCTTCCCTTGCCTGTCTTAGTCACATGGAAAAATAAGAGGAGGTGTATTTGCATTCCGCAAGGCATCATGCCAGTTGGGCGAAACCTAAAATGCTTTGGGCACAGGTTGTGCCTGGGTGCAAGCATTTAATCACTTAAAACTTTGTTTTCTTAAACTTGAAAGTCAAGGAGAAAGGGTAGTACCATTTGACTCATACACTTTCATCACGAGCCAGATTCATCTTCACTTAAACTAGTAGGCAAAATACTACAGATTTTTAATGTATGGAATGGATTCAGAACCATCTGGAATTGTAATTGATGAATTGCTCTTTTGACTTAGCAACTAAAGAAAATAGACATGGCCAGCATCTCGTGGTCAGGAGCTGGAAGATTCTGGTTACTTAGGCTTTTTTTTCTCTGTTTTGAAACAGTGCAACCTGTTTTATGTCTAAAAATCTCAAGGATAGCTTCAGTGGTTCCTGGTGTAGTATAAGTTAACCCTCTGTTGCCATGTTGGAGTGTTTTTTTTTCCCTTTGTTTTTATAAAAGAGGAAAGAAGTAATTATGCTTGATAAACTTTGAATTAAATAAAATTATCTTTTGAGGATATGATAACAGATCCACAAAAATTAGAAAAGTATTCTTCTTACCCATTTTCTTTTCCCATCCCAAGTTTTCATTTGTTGTGTGTCGTAGTGATGGAGAACAATTATGGAACAGTCTTCTGTGTTTCTTTCACATGTTAGATATTGGCAGCAAAGCCAAAGGTGTAAGGTTATTAATAGTTACATGGAGTTCATCTTGAAATGGAGTTTCCAGATGGTACACATTCTTTTCAGCTTCATTGTATAGATAAGTAGATTTCTAAGTAGTAAAGTTTCAAAATGTTCTCTCATTTAAAAATTTCATCCTCTTGAAAATCTTTGTTCTTTACAGAATTACCTATTAATAAGTTCTGTATGAGCAGCTTCATCTTTTCTGCAAAGAAAATGTTCTTGAAGTTGTTACCAGAAGCTAATGATACTTACTAGGTAATTTTAACTCTTAACATTGTTTAAAAATTATACAGCTTCAGATTGCCTATACTTTGTTCACAAACATTTATGATTTAAATATGACTGATTTAGAAATAAACAACTCACTAACATCTCTAGACTCCCCTGATCAACACAAAATTATTACCTTGCCATTTGCTTTCTGAAGGAGTTTAAAAAACCAGAGCAAATATGTCTTTAAGCAGACCCAGCTCCTTTTAATATTTTTCTCTTGGCCCACTCCTTCCTTTTCCCCCCACCCCCCGCCCCCTGAATCTGTATGGTGCTATAGCAGCTCTACTCTGTGCACCATGCTAAGAAGCTTCCTTTTTGGCAGAATATGTTTGGCAGCAAAGCTATAGAGACAGGTGCATTCAGAACAGCCTGGGCACCAGTCATGAGTCTTACTGAGTGTCAAAAATCTGAAAACACTTGCTGAGAACCAAATTTATTCCATTGGAAAAACCCTCTGGAGCTATAAGCCTCTTGGACTCTTCTTCCTAGATTAAGTCTTGCATTTCCCTTCCTGTCATGGTAAAAGATAATGGAAGCTGTTATCGATCCTCACTGCTGAGTGGCAGGGAGAAGCAGCACCACCCCCAGCTCTTCTCTAATCTTGTAACTTAGTGCTAAAGTCTCTCTAGGCTGTCAGCATGGGTGTTCTTTCCCTAGTGGAGCTGAAAGCAGATGAACCCAAGTAGAGAAGCTAGATCTTGGAAGGAGAGATCCTTTGGGGCCAGAAGCCAGATCAAATGGAGGCACCTCAGCGTTGACCAGAAAGATCTCCGTCCGTTGCGCAAGGCTGTAAGTAGTGATGGTCTTAGTGATGCATGACGTAACTGGCTATGAAGCACTGTGGCAGAGCTGCTGTTTTCTGAAAGTGAGAAGCCATTTTTAGCTCAGATCAACCCTTAAAAAAAATTAGCAGATTATTTATTGGCAATATTGGAACACATCTAGAAAAAGTTGCTGATTGCATTGGTTACGGGAATGGAGTTTAATGACACTTGTAATTTATTACACTCATTGCTTTTTATTGATTATAGTATTATCTGACTTCTCTACTATGGTTTCTTCAGCAGAAAAGTAACTCTTGTGCATATATTGAAGTGGTTTTCCAGCTATGAATTCTTTAGGGTAGAAATTTATTAAGCAAATGTGAATTCTTTTGAGAAAGTATGAAGTTTTGTAGAATTGACTGTGAAATGTCAGAGAAAAATAAAAGTCACTTACTTGAAAACTATTTGGCCTTTTTTGCTTTTATAACTGCTTAAAAATACTAAGTAATGTGCACAACAGTATGTGCCTTTAATCTCAGCAACTCACTGAGAGGGCAGGTGGGAGGATCGCTTGAGACCAGGAGCTCGAGACTAGCCTCAAAAAAATACTGAGTGAAACCTAGAGTAAATATTTGAATTGATTTAAATTTCTAACATAGGTATTTATGTTTTTTGGAAATGTTGGGATTAGATACTAAACATGTGGAAATTTATTGTTCAGACTTTCACTGATGTGAACTTAACAGGAAATGCAGGCAATATTAAAGCAAATGAGTAGGCCACCATTCCCTGGTCTTGGAGGTTTATACTGGGTAGGTTGGGAGGAGTGAGAAGAGGATACAGTCCAGTGATTTCTCTCATCTGATCTGACATTTTCACAAATAGAACTTTTAAGTGACAAAATTATAGTTGTATACTGGGATAAACTAAAGCCACATGAAGTTCTTTCTACAGCAAGTATACCTCCAAGCCTTCATCCATGCCTCCTGAAGCCTGTTCGTTGTCATGGTTCACCTAGAGAATCTTGTCAGGGAGATGTGGAGTCCTCCCTGCTTCCCAGACCAGTCCCCTGCTGAGATTTTTTAAGACACTGGAAAAATAAAAAACTTATCCTCATTAAAAGGCCTGGAGTGTTGTTATAGTCTTATCATTTTTATAATGCTCTCTCTCTCTCTCTCTCTCTATATATATATATATATCTTTTTTTTTTTTTGAGATAGAACCTCGCTCTGTTGCCCTGGCTAGAGTGTAGCGGTATCATCATAGCTCATTGCAACCTCAGACTCCAGGGCTCAAGTGATCCTCCTGCCTCAGTCTCTCAAGTAGCTGGGACTACAGGCGTGCGCCATCACATCTGGCTCATTTTCTGCTTTTAGTAGGGTCTCACTCTTGCTCAGGCTGGTCTTGAACTCCTGAACTCACGCAGTCCTCCCGCCTCAGTCCCCTAGAGTGCTAGGATTACAGGCGTGAGCTACCAGGCCTGGCCATAATGCTGTATAATTCTTATAACATTATTTCTGTCCTACACAGTTGTCTAAGTGACTTAAAAATATGGCTGTAAGGCCACTAGAATCAAAGACGGGTGACAATGACTAGAGAAGCCTCCTGAAATAGAACCATCCTTCCCTGAGAAGTGGGGTCCAGAGAGTCTAGGGAGCACAAAACGCAGACCCTGGGAGGCTGAGGAGAGCCCAGGCACTTGAGCTTGCAGCTCCCTGCCCCAGGCATGATTCCTACGTGCAGAAGAACTTGCCCCTCCAGGACTGCCTGTCTGCGAGTATGTCTGTTTAACCCACGTCTTTTATGGCATCACCACAAATTGTAGCCTGGTGCGAAGGGGTCTAAAGACCTGCATTCATATGTCATGTCTATTACTCATTAACTCGGTGACTTTGGATAAAGTCACTTCACCTCTCCAGCTGTCACTTCTCTTACCTGAATAACAAATAATTTGAACTAGTTATTTGGAAGGTCATTCCCAGTGCTAACCTTTTGTCAGATCTATAGTGCTATGGGTAAGCCATAAAATAGATAAGATCAAGTGAAAGAAAAAGCCAGGGGCGCTTAGAAAAGAGGTTTTTTTAGTGCTCCGGGAAAATGGTTTTATATTATAGTGTTCCTTTGGATTGTTAACTTCTTTATACGTGACTCTGGGAGAGCATTTTGCCAGTCTGCATTGGTTTTGTGCTTCTTATGATTATCTGGTTGTTGATAATGTGGATTTACTGATTCTTGTGTAAAAAAAAAAAAAAACTCTCAAATCTTACTGGCCCAAAAGAATAATTTGGGGTTAAATCACATCATGTCTTTCCTGGTCAGTCATCTGCAGCGTTTTCCTTTCTTTTGAGATGAAGGACATAAGTTTTTATTTTGGAGAGTATGTCAATTAGCTTTTTATTTCCTTTCAGATTTCTCTTCACAACCAGGAATGATGTTTCTGCATGTGTGATAGGAGCCTCTTGGGTTAATTTAACATTGTTTTCACTGTCAATAATCAGGAGTGACATAGATGCAGTGGTAGTTTGTGAGGTCTTTATTCTGGTCCCAGCCTCTGGGGTCACCTTTTATCTACCCTGGAAGAGAGATCAGAGATGAGAAGAGGTTTGCCTGGGTGACACAGCACAATCAGGACTGCTGAGAGAAAGAGGCAGCAGGAGTCAAGGACAGGTCCCTGCTCCTGCAGCCTGTATCTCTGCTACCTCAGTTTCCTATAGCAAGAGAGAAGGGGAATGATCTTTGCTGTACACTTGACATTATGGTGCAATGTTAAAAAAAAAAAAGTCTTGAAAGTGTTAAAATTTCTCTACAGAGCAAGGCAGCCTCAGTGATCACAGACCTGGTGATGAGATGCAAGTGATGGCATTCAGCCCTTACAGGCTGTCATTTGCTTAGGGTAATTAAGACTATCTTCCACCAAAATCTCATTTATAGCTAACAAGAAGAAAGCAAATGTCAACCCGGGACAGTTACTTTTTGACTGGCTTTCTGGAAGAAGGGGTTCTGTGAATCCATGTGTGACCACTTTGGCTTTTTCCTCTCAGAATCCCTCCTTCATTCTTAGAACACATGGCTTTCCTATCTCTTTCTAAAGAATGGTTACGCAAGACAGAGAATTGCTTGAAAGAACAGTCTGTGTGGTTCCTGCCTCAAATTACTGCAGCTGGAGGAGAAGAGATGAGCAAGACAGCGAGAAAAGCCCGTGGAGTATGAAGTTAACCCAGGGAGTGGGTGGAAGCTGTTAGGAAATGAAGGAAGAATAAAAACTGAAAGCAGGATCCCGCGGCCAGCCCTCGTGAGGGCCCCAGTCAGGTTGAATGATGATTATAGTCTGAGTGAGGCCTTTAGGGTGGCTTGAGCGCGTGAGCTGCCTTTAATTTTCCTAAAGACTCACTAGATCTCAAGAAGCGCAGTGGCCTTGGAAGGGTGCTCATTCATTCAGGTAAATGTCTTTATAACAGGGAGCGAGGGCCTCCATTCTCTGGGAACACTCAGCAAGCCTTTGCCTGCTGGGTGGGCAGATGGGAGTGTTTGGCCTCGAGCCTGCCCTTCATTTGAGGGTGAGGGCGAAAAACCAGAAGCCCTGAAAAATCAGGACCTGCTACTACTTGTAGATGGAAAAACATCACAATATCTCTACAGAGGGCTGGGCTGAAATCACCGTCTCCATGCACCCCTTGTACCAGTGACTGAATTGCTCAGTCATGGGAGGAGAAGAAGCTTGAAGAAGTTACACACAAACCAAACACCACACCCCGAACAGGTCTTGCATCGTCTTTAACACATGCAGGGGAAGCTGGCTCTAACATCGTGGTGATGCTCCTGGTGAATGTTTAATTGTGTCCTCCATTCTCCAGCAGGGCTTCTGGGCCTCTCCTGGCTTGTCACTGGGCTGCTCAGGAAATGCAAATGAGTGTTCACTTAAGCAAAACACACAGAGAAGGGCAGTGAACCGCCACAACAGCCAGCCCAGGGTACCCACAGCCTGATGACAGAGTGACACACATGGTTTAGAGTGTGTTTTCAGTAATGGTCCCCTGGGCTCCAGCAGGCCGAGAGGGACCAGGTGAAACTTTAGGTGAACTTTAGGTGAAAGCCTTTTTTTGAAGGATATCCAAGTCGATGCTTGTCTTGTCAAGGTATATTTAGAAGTATTGTGCCTTCCAGCCTGTGTTGATTTTATTCTTAAAGTATTTTATAAGCGTCAGTCGTGCTGTGAAGCTCCTAGCTAGTGAATTACTAACATTGCTAGTTGTATGTGAGGTTGGGCCACAGTGATGATGTCACTTCTGTTTAGCCCATGGCCAGGACTGGCCTCCCAGCCTGCTGACCACAAGGGCATTGGCAATTGGGGTGAGCACACACAGAGGGGTAGATGTCTCTGCCATACTGGGTTTTGTTTTATTTAATAATTCAAGGGAAAAAGCATTCTGGGACCCAGAGTGTCAGGTGAGCAGGCACCAGACAGCATAGGTCAGCCCTGGAGTAAGTCCTATTTTGGGAATCTTTGAAATTCTCAAACATGTGGTCCTTATCACTCAGTTTTTCACTCTTCCTTCAAAAAAATTTGTATTCTCAAAACCTGATCAGTTCCCTTCCTCCTGAGAGTTTTAATGATTCCCAAAGCCTACCAGACCAAAGCATTGTCACTGTTACTTCAGAGTAACAAATACATCCAGTTGTCAACACATTTAAGTCCCAGGTGCTGGCCGAGTGTAGGGTATAAAATGGTGGCTAAAACAGACATGGTCCCTGCTTCTAGTCTGGTGGGAGGATACAATGATCAACAGTAGTCAATTGCCCCTTTGACAGTTTTGGTCTTATGGGATCTTATACATCCAAAGCTGGGTGTGCAAACTGGACAAGGTGATGTGTCTCACTCCACTTTTACTTTTATTCCAAAGATTTATGCTTTAATAACCTTTGGGATTGGCAGCCTTTGATTAGGGCAGGAGTCCTTTGATTAGGGCAGGAGTCCTTAATGTGAAACTGTGAAGTTGGTAACAAGCACAATATATTGAACAGGCACAATATATTGATTAGATGATAAGTCCACCCAGCAACACCCAAGCACACGAGGAGGGCATTCTGCTCTCCTTGGGCTTCCCCCAGCTACTGCCAGCAGAGCAGCACATGGCCCCTCACTGGCCTCACCCTTGTCCTGGCCCTGGCAGCACCAAACACTTGTTGAGGCCCAGGGCCTGAGAAAGATGCACGTGGTCCCTGGGCTTGGAGCCTTGGCTTCTGAGCCAAGAGTTGTGACCCCCAAGAAAAATAGTGCCTGGTGCCCAAGGTGAATAACAGACCAGAGATCAGCCTTGGCACACGGTGGAGCTCAGATAAACTGAGAGGAAGGGGAAAAGCCCTTTAACCAAAGGAAAGAGCCTGAGTAGAGGCATCATTGTGGGCTGGAAATGTGGCTGCAAAGCGTGATCTGGCCTCTGTGTGAACCCAGCAATTATTACAT